AACACATTTATTTCTGAATGAGAACGTACAGTGACAGGATAAATGTTTGAGATTTCCACAACACTTATGAAAGGAAAAAGCAGAGGTAGCTTAACCAGACTATTCAGTCTTAATAAGTAACACTGAGCAGTGCCTGAAGGAGACAAGGAACTTCAGCAATTTTCCTCTCTCACCATGGAACTAAGTACAGAGAAAGGCTCTTTGACATACGGACGCCCATATGCTTCGTTAGTATGGTTTTACTTTAGAGTCACTACATTCCACATTCGAAATTATCCTCTTAAATGTCCCTTCCCCCCCACCTTTTTTTGCGCAATCAATATAGCTAGGGCTATACACATTCTAAACTGAATTAAAATCCAGTCTGCATAATTTATTCTTGCCAGAGTCAAAGGGAAAGTCAGACATACCGCTAGATTCACAATCTCCAGAAAAGTTTGATCTTTAAGACACACAGCACACACAATTTACATATGTACACTGAGAAACCACCGTCCTGCATTTACATTCAGCAATTAAATCATTGCAATTAATCCACTCTATATCACAAATATAACAAAAGAGAAGGAAAGAGTATTTAATCATGAAAACCTCTGCAGTTTACCTGGTTTGTTAAAGGACAAAGTGAGCCACGTATTTGCTTTAAGTATTTTTAAAAATCGAAGTACTGGTGAATAATTCTAGTTTCTTCTTCTTGAGGTCCCAGAGTGACAATTAATGAAGCTCTTGTGCAAAAGTGAAAAAGCGGCTCTCACTTCAAATTATCTGTCTTTCAGGAGTATTTACTATGGTTGGAGTCAGATGCTTGCAGGGGACTTAGCATGATACTCCAAATCTCAGATAAACTTGCATTCTAAAAAAGTCCAGGAGTACGAACAGACTACTAACTCCAAATATTTTCTATGACAACAACAGTTTTGAAAAACAACGGTTTGTATTCATAGTCCTACTCCAAAGCTTTTCATTTTCTTACAATAGCACAAAAATACCCAGCAGCAATTAGTATGACTGCCAATTCAAACTGCAACCATAAACAACTGCAACCAAAATTCAAACTAAGCCTTGAAAAATTACAGAAAGATAAGAAAAGCAATAATGGATCAGACCAGAGGTCCATCTAACCTTTATCCTGTCTCCAACCAAGCTGATCAAAATCACTGCTGTCCCAAAGAACATGTGGGCCAAGGACCCGACCCTCACCGTCACATTCACCACTGACATCTTGGCCACGGTGGTGCCACTGGCTTTGGATACCACACACACTTTTTTTTTTTTTTTTTAAGTTCACCTAAACCAAAGGATGCCAACTCCTCCCTTCTTTCATTGAGCTCTTCTCCATATCATCATACCCAACCACTCCTCTTTAAGTAATATTATATTTATATCAGGGATATCTACAATTATTTCCATTACTACTCAAGGCTGAAAACTGCCTTGTAGGAAAAGTTTAAAATTAGCATAGAATTAGTATAAAATCATCTTATCACATATTGTTTAAAGAGATGGCAAATCACCATTATGGAATGGTAGGCTGTCATAACAATTTTATTTAAGGAACTAGGACTGATTAAATACTTTGCAGAGTAAGTTGCAGAGATTGGATTGCAGGCTTCTGAACAGCTGTGAAAAAGAAAGGGCAAAGATGATCTAAGGAGTGAATGTTACTTTAAAGTAACCTTTATCACAGCCCAGTTAGTTACTTCAAAGGTCTTTACCACCATCAGCTTTGTTTGCATTAAGCCTAGAAATACTGACCCAATGTCCAGTTCTCCAAGCATACAGCAAAAACAATGCTAGCTGTCTCCAAAGCCACATGTAGTCTTTATGAAACTCCAGTAGAAAGCTTTCCTGTTGAGCAACTATTTAGTTGCCATACTGAAGCGTGGTATCGGAGAGACCTCTCCTGAAACGTTCCCAGGGAACTCAAGGAGAGCTTGAAATCTTCTGCCACAATGCACTGCCAATTCCAAATTTTGCCATCACTAATCTGTCCTCAACTAAGCCTAAAATGAGATTAGAATAATCACTAGGTCATCCCATCCTTCCTCTTACCATACAGAAATTATTCTTCTCCGTTTCATTATTTTCTCTTAAAACATTACTGGCTGCCGATATCACCTGATAAGAATTCCCTGCACATTCTGTTTGCTTCCTTTGACTTCGAATGCAACAAGGAGTAGAGATTGCTTCCTGTCAAGAGCATTACCTTAAAATGGTTGTCTTTAAATGTCCAAGACAAAAAACTTAACAGTGGAAAGTTAAAAACACAGATGTCTCCTCCTCTGCTTAGTGAAGGGGCATAAAATATCAGCACGCAGTGACCAAAAAGTGTATTGATGTTGGAGAAACCAGAACTAGTAGAAGAGGCTAGTGGCCTCTTCTCCCCCTCTTGACAAACACATGGAAACCTCTCTCCATGGGCATCAGAAATTCAAATGTTTTAGAAGAGCACCACAGATCACTTGGAGCAGAGGCACAGAAACTCCAAGGGACTCCATCTTCCAGCATGAAAGTAGCTGACATACCACAAATGTCAATTCTGACAAGCAACACAAACTTCATATACCATGGCCTGTGGAGTTTACTCACTCTGTCTATGGCTAAATAACCTCTTGCTCAAACCTGCAGCTCATAGAGCCACCAGCTGCAGATGTACTTTAGCAGGAACCTCCAACAGACATATTAAACTGTTTTCCTCAGAGAAGAAAAGTTTTTCCAGTTCTACCAGGAAAACAACTTCTTCCAAACTTGCAAACCAATTTACAGCCTTCCTTTATAACTCACGCTGATTCCCACCTATCCATGTTCTTTATGCCCTTCCTGCCACGTTCTTTCCCAGCAGGACTTACACTACAGAAAGAAAATTCAGACTAACGTTTTTTAGATTAAAACATAGGCTCAAGAATAACTCTATGTACCCGAGTGCTTAAGAAGGGCCAATAACGTACATTTTACAAGAAAATCAAAGTGAACAGCCCACTCCAGGTGTATATTTTGACAACACACTGAACAGGGAGTGCATTTCATGAAGTGCAATAACTAACTATTCTCTAGTTAATACGGAAGCTCTAGAGATCATTAAACTTCAGACCTCCGTTAAGCACAAAAACTGCTTCTGGACCTGCTTTACAACATTAACATAGGGTATATATTTATTAGCATCTTAGCTGGGATCAGACGTGCACTTCATCTCCTCATCATCCCGTTAGCCACACTTTGTTTTGCTTTGTGGAGCGGTCTCAGGGCACCTGAACTGGACTCCTTGCAGATGAAACTAAAATGGAACACGTCATCCAAGGGCACACCTAAAACACACCAACTATTACTGGTCTTTCAGTCCACAGGACCACACTAAGTAATCTCCTTCTCTAAAACACATACAGCATGAACATCAAGTCCTCAGGACCACTTCCCTCTACAGATCTGCTTCTATCATGCCACAATACTTGCTAAGACAGAGAGAGCCACAAACATCAAGGTAAAATTATAACTTTTCCCTACGCTGTTTTACAGCGAGAGGGGAAAACAATCATCCTATTTAAAGAGAGGACTAAATAGCTATATTACAACAGAGGTTTAGGTTTGTGAATAGGCATAAAAAGTCTTCTCATTTGGATCCTATCTCTAATTAGATTCCCTTACCAGGAGACTAGCACATCAACTAAATGTAACAGACAGAGAGAGAAAGAGAGGGAGAGAGAGAGAGAGAGAGTGTGTGTGTGTACGCATGTACACAAATACATACACACACACGTCTATACACATATATAAAAAATATCTTAAAGAAAATAATTAATCCCCAAGCAAAGCTTAAACTAGCTACAGGATATGATACCTTACTTTGGACAACACTTGACTGCACTACAAACTCTGTCCCAGCTTAGGTTCCACTGAACAGAAATACAAGATGACCAATTTGGCTATGGAAGAAGAGGCAGAAAATTCAGTTTTCCAGCCCTTCACCTGGATATATCAATTGAAACTACATTTTCCTTCTCATAAATGTGCTCCTTCTCTTGCTCAAGTTGTGATTTAATAAATAAACCACAGTTTGTTTCTATTCACGCAGACATCTCACAATGCCTATTTCTTACCATCGTTTCAAATGCAAAATAAGCATCATCTAAGTCAGTCTATTTACAAAAGCACAAAAATAGCTGTTAGTGGTTTTTTTGTTGGGGGGGGGGGGCATGGGTTTTTTTTTTTTTTTGTATTTGCATTTGCTAATAGCAATGGCAAAGCAATTTAATAAGCTAATACAGAAATACTCCAGGTAAATATAGTTTTGACTTAAAAAAAAAAAACAAAAAAACAAAAAACCCACAGCTAGTCAAGGAAAGCAGCACAAAACTAGTGGTTTCTATATGACCAGCAATATGGTACAGTTCATTGAACTTCCCTGCTTTCATTTCCCCCCACCTGCTACTCAGCAGTTTTAAGCAGTTGAATAGCAAGGTAAGGATGTGTCTTGGTAATCTCCTCCACTAAAACTGGTAATTCCCCATCTAAAATTAAGGGGCTTATATTAATAGCATTTAATTTTACTTGTCTTTTCATGTCATATTGCCAGAAACCTCAACAGGAAGGGGTATGCACCACCTGGCAGAAGAAATCAACTAGCACATAGCAAGCAGACCTGATATGCAGATGGACAGCCTAACGTTTGTGCCCAAACAGGCCTGGCCTCTGCACTTCCACACAACCTGACATGATTTTCAGAGATCTTACGAAAGCTGAAGACTTACTTTAACCGTACTTTTTTCTCTAAATTTTTTTTCCTTAACTTGGCAGGATCATTTAACAGAGGCTCAGCAAGGTAACAATTCCTGAATTCCCTAATTCTCTCGAAGCAGCATGTAACTTGCTACTGCTTTAAATGAAATTTATCATACAAAAACAATTGTATCATTGGCTTGATAACCGCAAAGAAAACAGTTTAGTGATAATATTCAAGGTGATGGAAATTAGCTCTAACACATCCACCAAATCAGAATGCTCACCTGCTGGTTTCCCAGTCTTGATCATCCTTATCTTTTTCTTCTTTGGCATCAGAATTGTGTGGGTGTTTCTGGACAATCCGCATCCCACCAGCTTTCACTGGAGCAAAAATAAATAAAAAATAGATTAAACCTTCCCCCCCCCACACACACAAATAAACCTAAATCAAATCAGTGTAAGGGAAAGAAGGAGAACCTCAGCAAAGTTTTAAGGATGATCCCTGCCCGCCTCGGTAAATTTTTGCAGAACAGTTTAATAATCATAGTTGGGTAAACAGGCCAAAACTGTTTAAAAGTGGAAAATCTGTGGAGCAGCTATTTCAGGACTGCATCTCCCATTCCCAGTCACTTCATGCCAGCTGAGAACTAGCTGCTCATTTTACCACTGGCTTCCAATACTATTTTAGAAAGTTAAACTCTGTTATAACTCTCACCCCTATTCATTTACTGCAATCAGCAGAAGAAATAGAGGCCACAGTTTGCATAACACTACGCAGAAGGCCACAAGTTGGAATGTTAAATACTCCCATAAAACAGGAAGGGCTGAAAAACTTTAGTATTGTAATTTCAAGTTAAAACCTACAGCAATAACAATACTATTTCTACAGAAAAGTACTTCATGAACAGTGTAATAAAAAGCAAAGGTTAGGAGAACTCTTAATTTATATTGCACTGCTTTTTGTTTTGCAAAATATAAGCATTTACCACATTTCAAATCCTTGTCATGATTTAGTTTCAGAAACGATGTAAACAGAAAAGCACCCCTTTGAAGCAAAAAATGAGAAATGAAAGCAAATCCACTAAATTCATCGCCTATCCTCCTCTATGTGAAACACAGAACAGGAACTACGCCTAGACGCTAAACCCGCAGCAACTAAGTAGAGATCTATAGGCAGGCTCTTCTTGATCTGCTTTCCGTTTTAATATTTTAGGCTCGTGTCTGCTTCTACGCCTACTGTACACGATGATCACAGTACAACGGCGGGTGGAAGACGATGGCACTTCCCTTGCTAAGTGGGTGAGTCACGTTCCAATCGACAACCGTGTCAGCAAGCCACTAGAGCAGCCAGGCGTCAATATTTAAGATACCTACAGACTCGTTGGTTTGTGTTTCACGTCGCTACGACAGGATAAGGCTGCTGACAGCCTCAGCAGAGGTGCTGCAGGCTGAGCAAGTGCAACGCCAAAAGCGGGTGGCTCAAAAAGAGCTAAAAATGCAGCTTGTCAGCAGGGCTGAGGCAAGCTCGCACTGCTGACAGCCCTTTGCATCCAGCCACAGAGAGATTAAGGCACTACACAACTGTTCAATACTATCTCTGAAACCGAGAAATAAAGAAAGTGTTTCTGGATACACAGGTTTCATTAGTTCTTAACCAGAACAGCAACGGAAAAGATATTCCTGCGTGTAAATTTTATAGAAGGCAGTAAAGAAACTTTAGTTGAAGGATCTGGCATAAGAGCAAGTGACAGGTGCTTGGCCCTTGACTTTTTTGAGAGAGACTTTAAGCTTTCAGTGATATTTGAAAAGAAAATATTGATTGGATAAAGGAGAGTTAAGACAACAGCCAATATCAAATAAATAGGCTTTACAGCCTACCAAAAACACGTCACTTAGCCTGCCCTAACCCCCTCTTCCCCATTCCCTTAAGCATTTTTGGATAATCTTTCCAGCAAAAAATCTACAATACTTAAATAGTGAGAAATGTTGCACATGGGACAGGAAAAGCCAGAAAGCTTAGGTAAAACAAAGACATGTAGGCTTCAAGGTGACACGAAAATAAAAATTCCTGTTAATCTTTCTTGATGCAAACTCCTTACAAATTTCAGTTTGTAAGCGCAAACACTTCAAGTTCTATCATTTGCCATGTTGTTCTAACACCTCAATGTAACTTAGGTAATCCAAGCGATTAATACATCCATAAGCCTTGCCAACAAAATTAGAAACAGTACAGATCTACAGCAGGGATTTCTTTTTAATTCGCCATCTGACGAGACAGCATCAACCTGTAAAAATAAACCCTAAAATCCTTACTCACAGGAGTTGTTTGTACTTTCCTTACCTTCATTAGTTTTATTTACATTAATTTATTAATTTAACGACATTGCGCAATCAGTTCATTTTAGTTCCGTTTCAGATTACTTTCTGTGGAAGACGCTGGCTTATAAGTGGCACTTCTGGACAATATACGCATGCTTCCACGTTGCAGTGCTTCCCCATCTAATAGAAAACTAAAGAACAACAGCCATGGGTTCAGTACTAACCCTGTTGGTCTAAAACCTCTCTCCTCTTATATTATGTATCATCAGGCCACTCCTTTTGTGTCACCAACAAAAAAAAATCCTGCTAAAATTTACAGATTTTTCTATATGTAAGAGAAAATCTCACAAATGGGACAAAAAGGTAGAGTAGCCAATGACCAATGCTGCAAACGTTATGATCTTGCATGTCTGATTTTTTCACTAACATCTATTACTATAGGACAGTCACACAAAAGTACGTTGGCATGTAATGGAGCAATCTTTAGTAATCCAGAGTTACTGTGCTTACCTGGAAAATCAAGAGAAGCATCCAGCAAACAACTACAGTAACAATTCATATCTCTGAGAACAAAAGTGAAATCCTGCATCCTGTCCATACAGCTGTGGTACACCTATGCCATTGCAAAGTAATACCCAACCTAGCTTCAAGAGACTCAGGTTAAGGAGAGCAAGAATATCCTTGCAACATGGTTCACTTCCCTTTCCAAAAGTTTTCAACCAAGCTGCACTACCTCAGCCTAAGAGGGAGGGTGAACTGATGAATTACATCCCCAAAGCTAACAGAAAAATTTGTCCCATTTGTGAGATTTTCTTGGGCTTGGAGGATTCATCTATTTCTAACCTGCCTAACTTATACTACATAATTTGACAGATGCTTACCACTCTGATTTTGATGGTTAAAAGTCATTTTTAAAAGAATATGAATGCAAATTTCCTTATACTAACTCCTTCACAGAGTGGAAAGAAGATTTAAATAACTGAGAAATCACCTTCCAAAACATCGCCATAAATTAACGCCCAGAAGAAGGAGACATCAACAACTATATTGGGATTACAACCAAAACAACTCCGTTATCAACCGATGATAATGCTGCGGGCCTCAGACTGTAGTTATGTAGGAGAGTTAAAGCGGGACCTTTGTTAAGGGAGGGAGAGAGTTGGTGAACACCTCCACGTGGTGGAGAACCAACAGAAGTTATCAGCTTCTCAAGTATGAAAAACATAGAGGATGTCTTGGGTACACCCAACAAGAGAGGAAAAACAGTAAAACTTTGCTCAACCGCTGGATCTTAATTTTGGGTTTTAATTATCATTGGTCATGTTTTCCCTAAGGGACAGAGGAGTTGCCTTGTTTGCGCTATAAACGCTGACCTCCGTACCGCTCTAAAGAGCACGACTACTCCAGGCACCTTCTGGAAATTTAATAAACAACTCATTTAATTAATATGTGGAGTGCCTGAAATTGCTAAACATTCTCATTCTCTTTATTCTTTTTCCACAGTTGTGCTTTTTTTGGGACTGTACCTGGTTTCTGAGACTTAATGCTGAGATAAATCATACTAAGGCACAGAAATCTGAAGCACCAAGTATCTACCGAAACATCTCAACCCCACGACTGCTGAGACCTGAGCTCAGTCTGACTGCTGCCAGGCAGCCTTGCAGCCTGAGGCAGCGCTTTCTGGGCAACCTTGAAGTTCAAATGAAATCACTTTGCATTTCAGAGCAACCACGAGCGAACTTTCAGAAAGCAACAGCATAACCCGGATCTTTAGCACCTTCCAGTTTTCCTTTTGAGCACAGTATTGACTATTAACACCAAATTTATTTCCTATGAACCACATAGTAATAGCTTTCATTTTATATCGCTAGGATGTATGGAAGTCCAAGACTGGGGGAAACTCAAAATATGCCCTTGTGTATGCTTAAGGAAGCATCTTTTTTTCCACAGTAATCTTGGCTCAGAGACAGATTTTTTTTTAATGACAAAAAAAAGCGCATAACTATTTTCATGAATCTTTTGCAAAGCTTCATAGATAAACTATTAACACAATTGCCTTGCTTTATGCATCTACTGTATCTATTAGAAGAAAAGAGTACCTAAAAACAGAATTACATAGGCCTCTAGAGTGACTGCAAGCTGCACAAACCTACTCAGCACTGTATTACAGATGCACTGATCTTACTGACAGACGGATATTTAAAAGGGCCACAATTTAAACTTTATTAAGTTTCAGAAAGCAGTTCAAAGACACTTCAGGTACCCTGTTACCAGCCTGAGGTCTTGAGAGGTTTCTTTCCATTTCATTAACCTTTCTCAAGTGTTTTTCTCCTCTTTTCTCTATGTGAAAGATCAACGCACAAAGGAAGCTAACACACTGCATGCAGTTAGGAAGGTTAGGGCTAACTGCTCATATGAAAAACAATGGATTTTCCAATTCTAATTTAATTCTATTTCTGATAACTTAAGTCTTTCCTATACTTTTATGTATGCATCTCATGCTCAGCGAGGTGAGACACGTCCTCATTACAGGTAGGACTCCCTATATAACTGTATGCAGAAAATTAAGAGCTTTTTAAGCCATCAGCCAAGCAAATTTGGTTAGTCACATCTTCAACTTGCTAGCTACTAGCCTTGCTATTTACAAACACAACCCCCCCCTTTTTTTTTTTTTTTAAGAATTCCTGAACTCAATTTTATTAAAAAATATTTGCAAACTGCGACATGGCATTACATTATTGTTCAAGGATGTAAACCAGCTTGGGACAGAGGATTAAACCCAAACTTTAGCCACCAGAGTAAACTTAAACTAGCATTAGTTGGTAAATTTCTTGTGGACGTTAAAGATCAACGTGCCAATGAGCGACTTTCCTCTGCCACCCTGTTCATAACCATCCTCTTCCCAAAACGACTTGAAGACACTGTCAAACATTTGCTCAGCCGGCCTCACAGGAAGACCCGGCGGTCCTCTTCTGCAGATTAACTGGTGGATCCTCACAAAGAACGTACGTAGCTGAACAAGCTCTTCAGCTCATCCGGGGCTTCATGTCTTAAAAAGAGGGGAAAACACCTGAAATACCCTGACGACTAGGGAAACCTGCATTCACGCTACGATTTTGCACCGTGTTATTGCCCGTTTCTAGCACGGCCTATGGAAGCTCACTTCGGGTCTTCAAAAAGATTGCACCTGCTTAAACGCAGGTTTTGAAGAAGAACTCTCAAATATCTTCGCAACCCTAGCAGGAAATATTAGAGTTTCAGAGCATCTAACTGAAAACGTTTACTATTTATTCCGGACAGCAGAGCTAAACCCATCTAACGTGCTGACAGTCCCTTCGCAGGAAAACCGGCACCCCAAGGCGAGCCCGCTGCAAGAGCGCAGGCAGCAAGGGCTCCCGCCGCCTGGGAGGACGCTTTGGTGCGGCTCCCACAGCCAGCTCCACACGCC